CGCTCAACAGACGGGCGCTAACACGTTCGCATTATGTTAAACGTCTCACGGGGCTATGCGCCTAAACATATGCAACAACAATTTGCACATGTGTTTTTGCTGTTTTCACTGTCGCACGCACACGCAAGCAGTGGCTTTAGTGCCCCTCGGTGGTTGTACTTTGTAAGTGTGCTTCATAAGCTTGTTGTGCTTTCTTCTAGTGATTACATTTGTTTCAAGCACTCCTAGCTTCATTTTTATTATTGTAGGATGTTGTGCTTTTTGCGCTTGTTATACCCATATTTTTTCTGTTTTTTTTTTGCTTTGCTACTTTTCAAACAAATGTTAGCTGTCACTGCATGTCAGTGTCAACAAGCGACCAACCCGCACGCGCTTACACATACACACACACGCATATTTGTCTTGCCGGCGGCGGCGGTGGCCATGACGTTAAAAAAGGTCCCGCACTCATAGCTAGTAGCAACCAAGTGGCGAAAAATTCTAATTCATGCCAAAAATAAACACAAGCATACATCAAACTCAGTTCGCAGACACTTTCGTCGTTCGACCGCCACAAAGTATGCTTTTGTATTTTTATATTTACACTGTTTATTTACTTTTTCAACATATTGGTTTGTAATTGTTTGGTATGTATGCGCGCCAAAAGTTATGCCACATTACGTCTTTTCATATTCGAAACACTAACACACGTCAGCCCGGTTATGCTGTCTGTCGCTAAATCGACGTTGTCGCCGCCGAGCACTTCGCATTCGGCACCAACACTCGGCCGCCGCCTTCGGCCACTTCGTTCCGTACTCGTTGCTGTACGAGTTGAAACTGAATTTGAATTTGTTGGCGGCGACACAGCGAACACGGTCAAAGTCAATGTTATTTGGCAGCGTTGAAGCGTTCCATTAGTAGCTGTTTGGCAGGATTCGTATACGATGTGCTGTCGTGCTGTGAATTGGTGAATTTTGTTGTGCGGGAGCCCATGACGTACTCATGGTATGGTTTGAGATTTTTTTTCAGAGCGGTATTCAGCGCTTTGTGCGCTCAATTAAAGTTGAATAGCATGTTTGAAAAATTTCAACACCGCTGTGGTGGTTTAAAGAAAAGTTTTGCAAATTTTGAGACTTTCACCACTTAAGTGGTGACTTTGTATAAGCAGCAGTAAATAAGTGTTGTGGTGAGTTGCTCTAAATGTGATGAAAAGTGCTGATTCCATATTTTTTATGTATTACGCTAACCAGACGCACACCTGTGCTCTGTAAACGAGTGCTGTTGTTGGAATTTAGAAAAGAGGAATCTTTTACACATCAACACATCATATCTCCCCATTGTACTAGGCATATAATGGGGAGATATGATGTGTGAGCTTTTATTCTAATAAAAATAATGTATGCAAATACACATATAATTATACCGTAGTGTGATGAGTTAGCTGTGGTGTGTTGTATAAACTCCAATGGCCACTTACAAATTAGAAATTCATGGTTTATCATGTTGAATAAACTTAGTGCTCAGTGGTGATTTTAACCAAATGACAAACACCACAAAGTCGAAGATAATTGAGATTTCAACACTCACGTTGAAATCTTTTATATCCGAATATGCGTTACGTTTCTTTAGGTGAATTTATATCTTTTACAGTAATGCTTTCTGATTACAGACTCTGAAATGAAGTTTTCTGCCAACAAATAAAAATAGAATAAAATAAAAAATAAAAATAAAAATAAAAATAAAATAAAAATAAAAAAAATTAATAAAATAAAAATAAAAAAAATGAATAAAAAATATAAACAAAAATAAATAAAAATATAAATTAAAATAATAATGACCATAAAAAATAATAATAATAATAATAATATTAATAATAATAATTTAATGATAATAATAACAATAATAATAATAGTTGTAGTAATAATAAACATAATAATAATAAACATAATAATAATAATAATAATAATAATAATAATAATAATGATAATAATAATAATAATAATAAAAATAATAATAATAATAATAGTAATAATATTAATAATAATAATAATAATAATATTAATAATAATAATAATAATAATCGTAATAATAATAACAACTATAACAATTATAATAAAAGTTATATAAAATAATAGTAATAATAATAATAGTTTTCCATTTGGCTTTTTCGTTTGGTTGAATATTATACTTTTACTAAGTAAATAATTTATATCATGATTTATATTCTGTGATTTTCATAAATATGAATTGATTTAATTTAAATGGCGCTTAAAGTCTACTTAGTATTTTCGAAATAACTATAAATTTGTTGTTTCGAATTTATACGGTTAATGGTAAGATTCTTTTTGATTTCTTCCCATAAACTCAGTTCTCAATTTCGACTGTGTTGTATTTCCAAACTACTTTCACTCTCATAATCTCATCCTCTCTCTTCTCTTTTGTACCCTAATACTATCTTTTTACTCTCCCGCCTTTCAATTTAACTATTTTCACCAAAAGCTCATCTGTTGTAATTTTGTTGTCGTTTTTGTAATATAGGGTAAATGTGTTTTTGTTCCCTAACTAACCATTATGAACTTCCTACTTGAAATTCCATTAGTCGTCACTTCGTAGATACATAATCATGCAAAATGCCTCTCGGCCGCAAAACGGAAATAACTGTAATCGTACTCTGTGGTGAATTTTCCAAGGTTTTAAATAAAGCATATAATACCATTGGAGTACACTTTAATGTCGAGTATCTCATTGCCTGCCAACTTGTCATGAGATGTGGTAGATACATATATACATAGATATATATATATACATATCTATGAATGTATGTATGTAAGTACTCCTGTGTGGGTGTAAAGGAATTTCCATGCATGTATTTTCACCTTATGTTGAGTGCCATTTCTTTGGTTGGCTGCGGGTTATAAATGCGGTTTTAATTGCACTTTGTCTAAAGCGTTTACAACAGCTTAAAATGAAAATTCGAAATCGAATTTATGCGTACGGGCAAAGTGCTGGTAAAATGAGTCAAGTGCATTTTAATGCCCACAAATATAGTCAATTAACACGAGATTAATTTGTGTGCTTGCAGTAAATGAAAGCATATCTTCGTTTTTATGATTTTTTCGATAGATTTCCTGGCTTTTTTTCATTTTATTTTTATTATGTTTCATATCATTGTTCAATTTTTTACATTTTTTGTTCATCTAGTTTTATTTTATTTTTTTCGTTTTTGCTTTAGTTTTTGATTCATATTTATTATATTTAATTTCAATAATTATTTTTCTTTATTCTATTATATTTTTAATTTAAATTTAGTTCAGTTTTTTTTACTTCATTATGTAACTTATTTATTGATTTACTGCTTGATTTATTTTTATTTTGAATTTTCCTTATACTATTATATACTATATTATTTTATTGACTTTTAATATTTGCTGTATTTTCTTTTTATTAAAGATTATTACATTTTGGTACATTTTTTTGATTTTGTTTTATTTAAATTTGTTTACTGTATTTACCTTTTTCTATATTTTTTTTAATTTGCGTTATATAATTAATTCTATTTTAGTTCATTATTTGTTTTATTATGTTATTGTTGCTATTATTTATTTAATTTAAATTTCTTCTTTAATTTTTTATTATTAAACTGGTTTAGTTTTAAATATTATTCTTGCTTTTTTGTCTTTAATTTTTAATAGTGATTTATTTTTTAATTAAATTTTTATATTATTTTTATATAAATTTAGTTATTTTTTTATTTTCTTTCAAATTTTTGTTTTTTCTTTTTATATTCTTTTATTTCAGTTGAGATTTTTACTAGTATGGAAAATTTTGCTTTATTGAACTTTTTGATTTATCTAAATATTAGTTAGCTTCTTATTTTATTTTACTTTTCTATTTTGCTTCTATTCTAAATAGTTTTAATATTTATTTTGTTTATTATGTATTTATATTATTTAAGCATTCAGCATTTCTGTTTTCCTGGATTTTCAGCAGCAGTAAACATTTGAGAGCCCCATCATCCGGTCGACCTCATAATAACTGTCCACATGCTCAGGTTTTTGTGAAAATACCATGAAAATGCTGATAAAGTGAAGAATTCTCTCCAAGTTACGGAATTATTTGTGCCTGGTTTAACAATCACCAAGATCTGTGGACGCTAATATGGGTACAGAACATAGCCGTTCCGCAAAAGTCTGGAAAGGTTGCTCGTAGTTGCACTGAAAGCCTCGTCTGTTGTAACTTTGTACCCCAGGAAATTCAATTCTTTAGTTCAAGTGCAGCCCCAGCTAAAAACTGAAAATTCTTCAAATTTTTAACGAGTGCTCTATAGAACTGAAACTTCCAGCAGTGTCTGTCTTTGCTCTAGTAAATCCACCAATTGCTCACATGCATTCCTGGCTACTACTTTTACCGTAATTAACGGTCTCTTCTTTTCATCTGACGTTCATAGATATCATTTAAGCGATTTATTTTGATTTTTTTAATCAATTTTTTTTTTTTTACCTTTAACTTATTTAAATTATTTTTTATTTAAATATGCATATTTCATACATTTTAATTTCTTTAAATTTAAATAAATTTTACACTCTTGTTTTATATTTTAATTAATTTTTTTTTTTTCATAATGTCATCATACTTTTAATATATTTTTAACTGCAAATTTCTATATGTTTTTAGTATTTTTTTAAATTTATTTGATTTTATTCGTTTTCATTTCATTAAATTTTATTTATTTCATGTTGCTTTCTGTCTTATTGTTCTAATTTGATTTCATTTTAGTTTGCAATAATTACATTAATTTATTTGCTGTGATTTAAATGTTTTAACGGTTTATAAATTGTTTTTTATTTGTTTTTTTTTTTTTAATTAATTATTTAAGTTAATTTTCAAAACTTTTCTCCCTGCCTGTATTGACTATACATTTTATTTTATTTTTGTTAAAATAAACTGAAAAGTACTTCATATTTGCATATGAATTACAAAATTATGGAAGTAATTAACAAAAATTTTTGATTTCATTTCAGGTTAATTGATTGATAATTCCGTTGAAGTTACCATAAAGACAACAGCAAGAAACACTTCCACTTCTCCCTTGTTTGCGTGAGTATTTTCCCTTTATTACTACTTTTGTATAAATTGTGAAGGTAATGCTTAAAATATATTTTACATTTAACTAATTTTACAAAATGAGATTAAAAAACTAGTGATTGCTTTTGCGGTAAAAAATATAAAATTAAAATATATAAAAGTTAACGAATAGAAACTCACCATAATTATGATTAAAATGATCCAAACTTAAAATGTAAATAATGATCTTACCTGAGACTAACAAGAAAGTGAATTGAAACTCGCAACTATTTAATAAGGGACTAAATGCAGGTGGTGACTACAAAATTACTGTTTTTTTGTTTAAACTTAACTAAACTCTACCACAAACGAATTACCAACTTACCGCACAGTTTTTAAAGTAACTAACTATTTGAAGCTTTCAACTTGTTCACCACTTTACTCTTTGCTATTTCTCTTACATAAAACTTCACCCCAATTTGAGTTATTAACACTCCAGCTGAATAAGAAAATTCAACATATATCCTTTAACCACAATTACTCACTTGTTCAGAACTTCTCTCTCCGCGTCAGTATGCTCTCACTAACGATTCTCCCCACAGAAATGCGTTCGTTAACACACGACCATTTTACCTTTCGTGTTGAACACCGACGATACGAAGCATGCTCATCACCCGTGCCGTTACAAGGTATGCCGTTAGCCACCGTTAGGTATCGTTTTGGTTTTTTGGGACAAGTTTAGTAGCATTTCGGGTTTGGCCAGGATGTAAAGGATAATAACGCGAGTTAACGATACGCGCGCGTCGTATATTTTTTTTGTTGTGAAGAAAGCAAGAAGAATACAAAAAATTTAAATAAAGGAAAAAATTAAAGGAAAATACAACTACGAAAAATTTAATAATTTTCCAAAGTGCTTCAGTGTATTTGTAATAACGCGAAATCCAAGTGTTTTATTGCCTACAAGTCTTCTTTCTTAATGCGCTTATGTGTAAATTATTAATAATATAAAATCACGAATCAAATTTGTGCCCACTTCGTGCATTCACACGAAATCATTCTGCCTGACCTACACTATACTTACGTGTAGTAAGTTCAGTCTTCCTTCCGCCCCTTACCTTTAGAGTGAATTACAGTGTGTAGTGTTATTTTATTTCAAATTTTTTTTTGGGTTGATTTTCTGTGCACCCTATGTGTACGAAATATTTCCTTCTTCGCTGACGTTTTGAATCCTGGCTCACTAAACTGCGGTTTTTGTTTTCATAAGTTCGTCCACACCTTCAGAAATAATAGAGAAAATTTACAAAAAACCTCACAATAGTAAAATAAACAAAGATCTCAAAATCCATTAAAAGAAAATGTGAAAATAAATTTACAAATATATAAATAAATAGAATATTTCATAAAAAAAATTCGAAGCCTCCAGGCGAAGGCACTTACACGTATATACGCAGAAAGCTGTAATCTCAAGAAGTGTCATCACATCTGCTTGTCACCAGTTAATGATACAAAAAAAATTGAAAATGGTAACAACACTTAAGTTCTTGAACAAAGCCTCGTGTGGAAATTGATGTTAATAGTATTACGGTTTTCTCAAAATATAAAATGAATTTGTTTAATAAGAAATAAATGTTTTGGAAATTCGCTCACATTGACACTTTGATTAGTAAAAATTAAATTTAAATAAATAAATTAGTTAAAATGAACTCAAAAAATTGGACTAATTTAAATATAAAAAAAATTAGATTTGTTTAAATTAAAAAAAATGAAACAAAATACAATAAAATGTAACAAAATAAAAGCAAATAAAATAAATTAAAATAAAATAAAATAAAATAAAATTANAAAAAAAAAACTTTTAAGTAAACTTCATATTATAAAAAGAAAAAAATAAAAGAAATATATTCGTAAATTCAAAAAAATAATAAATTAAATAACCTAAAATAAAAAAAATTAAAAAAGGCACAAACAAAAGAATTAAAATAATGAAAACAAAAAAAATAATTAAAAAAAAATAAAACAAAATATATAATATTAAATAAAATGGAATAAATATAAACTAATAATAAAAAAAATTTTTGAATTGCATAAGTTATAAATAAACTTAATTGAATTAAATAAAAGATTAAAAAAAAAAATCGAGACAGCAAAGAGCTGATAAATAAGAGGAAAATAAAATAAAAATAAAAAAAAAAAGAAATAACAAGAAAGAGTATTTTGTCAAAATAAATTATAAATTAAATAGAATTAAAAAAAAAAAATTTTATATTATATTTTATTATTATATTATGATAACCTTAAATTTATTTAAAAAAAAAATATAAGTGAATATAAAAACATTAACGAAAATGAAGTAAAATTGTCTTTAATAAAAAATTTTTCATTGAAGGAAAAATCTTATTTTGAAACGAAATTAAATATATTAAACAAAATAAAAAAATGTAAAAAATGTGATAAAATGAAAAATAGACTGAAATTAAATAAAATGAAATAATAAATAAAATAATAATAAGTAATTATTTTAAATAAAATTCATTGACATAAAATAAAATGATTAAATGAAGCTAAAGTAATTTTTATTAAAACTAAATGTAATGAAATAGAATTATATTAAGAAAAAAAAAAACAATTAAATGAAAATTCTACAATACAAACCAAAGTCAAATAAAAAAAGAAAAATTAAATAGCATCAATAAATCGAATTGAATTTAATTAACTTATTATAAATTGCAATAAAATAAAATATTAAAGGAAATAAAAGTGTTAAATAAGATAATTTAAATTTTATATTGATTTAAACGAGTAAAACGAAATAACATAAAATTAGTAAAAAAGTTCAATTAATAAAATAAAAATATAATGAGAATTAAATCAAGTAAAAAAAATTAAGTTAAATAAACTAAAAAAACAACAAAGTTAAATAATCGATTTTAACTAAATCAAAGTTAAATAAAATGAAATTAAATGCATTGCAGTTAGAAAAAAAAAAATGAATTAAAATAAAAAAATTAAAATAATTAAATTACAATAAAATCAATTAAAAAATAAAATAAAATAAAACGTGTTTTTTAGACTTGTGCATTTCAGTTTCCCGGAAATGACTTAAAAAAAAATTGTTTGATAGTAGTTTGGCTTGCCATTTCATGATGAAGAAACTCACTCCGACACCACATTTGCAAATCTTGCAAACTCTTTACTAAAATTAAAATAATGGTGTATGCCCCTTAAAAAAAGCAGCGTCCAATATACGCCAAACAAGCACAATTTTGGTTGACTGAATATCTCAAAAAAAAAGCGTGCTCTATGAACAGCGGGAATGAGTGCTCAATATTTTTTTAAAAATGAAACAAAAAAAAATGCGGCTGGAATTTATTCTATCCTGTCGGGGTAGCCCCTTGCCCGCTTTTGAAACATAACCAGCTCTTCTCTTTATAATAAAGCTAAATTCTTGGCCCTAACAGTAAATTATAAAAAAAATAATTTTTCCTGTAAGCCAAGAAAAATTATCGAAGAATTCACTCTTCATAATAAAAAAAAATTGGCAAAAAATTACTCCTTTCAATTTACTGTAGACTGTAGCCAATGTTGGTTAAAAAAAAAGTCCTTTGTAATCTCTGAATGTGCTTCAAGTAGCGTTACCTAACCTACGGCAGAAAAAAATCCGTAAATGCTTCAAAAATGCGCTTTTCGAATTTTGGAATATTTCGTCTAAACAATTTTTGTTCCTGCTAAAGTTTGTAATACTAATAGAAAATGAAAAAAATAATACTAATCTAAATATATTTGACAATTTTTGAACTATTTTTTCTTGTTCAAAATTTTTGTTTTATTTTGCGAAAAAAACTCTTTATGATTTTTCCAGCAGTCAATATTATATTTTCGGAAAACACGATGTATAAAAAAAGGAGCGTACTGTTTTTGGGTTTTGACAGCAACGATAAACACAAAATCTGTTATAAAAAAAAGTCTTTCTTTAGTGTAAAGTAAATAATGATACAGTTATTTGTGATTTGGGCCAAAAAAAATAAAATAAAATTATTTAAAAAAATCAGAAATAACTAAGTTTTTAGAAGCATTTTTTTTAACACAGCGATAAATAAATATTATATATATTTTTCACGACAAATATTTAAGGCAAAAATTGTTCACATATTATTTTACTTAATTTTTTAAATTACTTCTTTGAAAAAAAAAAAAAATCTAAAAAAATATTGCGAAAAATAATACAAATCTCAACTACTCATCTACGCCACGTCGCTTTTCAAAAAAACAATTTTACTATATGCCACTTAAGCGCATCAACCTTTTTAATGCTGTGACCTGCATAAATAAATAATTCAATCACCTGCTGTCAGTTACAAATGGAAACAACTACATTTAAGTGTAAAAAAATTTATATGTATATAGATACAAATTAATGTATATGTACATATACATATATACGAATATATAAAAAGAAATGCTTATTACGATTAAGTGGCATCGCCGTCAAAATGTGCATACAATAATATATAGATATACATATTTATATGATTGTACTTATTATGTCTGCTTGTCTTGCCACAAGCAAAAAAATGAGCATAGCCAAAAGCCCACTAAAATCCGCTTCAAACCACAAAAACGAAAATCTTCCCAACATTCAGCATAACCTAAAATCGGAATAACAACAAGTCGATTGCTGTAAGCTATAAAAAAAATGGAGTACGGAGCGTAAATATTTATATATGTATGTATGCACATAAAGAGGGACTGGGCGCACGCCAAATGCAGTGTGGCCGAAAATGTTCTCTGATGACGGTACATATAGTACCCAAAAAAATTGCTTGGTGTTGTTGTTAATGTTACTAACTGTTGGACAGGTGGTTTGTATTTAAAAAAAATATGTTTGTAGTTTATACGCTGCAAAATAGACACTACCGGTTATCCGGTAAATGATTCTCCAGCCTTTTTGCTATCTTTCACCTTTCAACCAGCGCGCGCTGGTGATGTTTATGCTTGTTCGTTTGTATATATGTATGTGTGTATGTGTGTGTTTA